AAGCGATGAGTAATCCGCGCGACGCGATTCGATGCAACGCTGCAACGCACCACAAAGAAATTATCTTTCGCCATGCGAAACAAGTCGTTCGGCGCAGTCTGTTGTAATTAGTAAATAATATGTATATTTTATATTTTACGAAAATATCATAGGTAATGTTTTCTAGACACGATTTTGAGATTAAGTTTTTATACAACGATATAATAAAACGACGTGTAGTGCTAATAAGAAATATGAACTATTATTTAGACTAATTATATGGGATACATTATTTAGGTGAAATTACAGACGGTAGGATGCCTTCCGAACGTTCGTTATTAAATTCAACTATGTATGATGTGGGTCCTTCGACGTGGACCACCCTGAGGTGAAACGCAAACAACCCGTTTATCCCGCTCTTCGAAAAGAAACCAAGTGGAACCCTCGGTGCACTCCTTTTTTTAATCTCGATATTAGTCTTGACAGAATACGATATTTTTGAAGAGACGAGCATACAGCTGTTCCTTTTTAAACAAAGTTTGGTACATTTTTTCTGTTGCTATATACTTATTATGTCAGCATACACAAGACGATGAGATATATTATAATACTTATTAAGATGTTCTTCAATTGTATGACTACATATAATAGAGTTTTACGAGATGTCATTTAGTTTCTTATTGTAATGGAGCCCAATTATCTTCTTCGCGCTCCAATTATTAAAGAATATTCTCTCTTATATTTAATTCCTGTTACTTAAATTACAAATCCGTAATTAAAAAAAAATTATTTGTTCAAGTGTGAAATTAAAATACGAAAGATTTATTATTAACGAAATTGGATTTTACTTGAGATTTTAAATGAACGCTTTACTTTGGATATCTGATCTTTTCTTAATAGGAAGTCATTAAATATGAACAAATCTATAAATTTTAATTCCAATTAAGAATATTGATTCCATTTAAGAATGTTCCTTGCATTTATAATTAACTTTTGTAAATCAATTATATAATATTTTATTCTTCGCTTTCTAAATATAAAATCAATGTTTGACTGAGGCCTGATTATACTAATGATTATGATACTTTGATTTTAAGCGAAGGTTAAAATTCTTTCTGTCTCTATCTCTTTTTAGTTTTAAAACAAGATAGATAAAGTTTTAAATCTCGCTTAAGATCAAAGTGAAGTTGGTGCAACCGGGCCTGAATGTCTCAATGAAGTATCACAAAGTATATTGTGCAATTCCCTTATGAATAATTCAGAAAAGTTTATTTGCTTTAACTATAAATGCAATTGTACTACTATTACTACTACTACTACTAGCAAAATATTTGTGCTCGAATTTTCGAGAATTCTCGTTTCTTTTTAAAACCGGAGACGAGAAGTCAGAGGCAATCGGCAGGTGCGCGATAGAATATCTGTTTTCCTTTAAATTATGCGAAATAAGCAAATATACTTTATCCCCAAATTGTTGCACGGTGTGTCGAAAGCGCATTTTTTTCCCATTTGTTCTCCGTGCACTCTTTCAGCAAAAGATGCCAGGGGCGTGTATGTTTGTTTAGCCTCGGTATACCCTGTTATTAGGGACCGCTGCCCATGCCTCTCGAAAACCGTAGGGCCCACGCGGAGATTTGGCCGCCTTGAGCCCGATCGTACATCCCCCTTTCCGCCCTTCGTCCCATCGTTCCCTTCCTTGCTTCATTTCGTGCGTAAAAGAAGTTCTCGAGAAAGGAACGACGAGATAAATTCGGAAGGGGGTCCCGCTGGCTCCTAGCAGATCCTTTCCCTTTAGATCTTGATTTAGATTCTACCACGTTTTAATTTATTACAAGCGATGGCGACGATTATACGGAAACGAGTCTTCGGCTTGGCAGAATACGCCAATTTTTAGCCCATGCGAATAAAAAGAGAAAAAAACGAACTGAGAGAACATAAAGAGGAGCTCGTGTAGCGGAGTATTAAAGAGGAAATTCAGGAATTTAAACGCGTTCAGATACTCACTAAAACAGTAAAGATTTCTTCGAATTATTTCAATTCCTCTCCATCTTATGTGCGCAAACAGGCTTTCTGTTTCGTGAAATAAGTAAATAATTTTAAACTTTAATTTAAACTTATACATAATTTATCATACGCAGTACTTTCCGATTACTTAATTATATTTTTGTACATATTTTGTAAGATTGTGAAAAATTTAATTTGGACTTTTTAAATTTTAATCTGTATATATTACGCATACAATTTCGGCCAAATTAAATTTTTCTTATTTTTAAAAACTTATTTAATGTTGTATATACGTATTAAGTGACTTTTAGGAATAAGAAAATATTTAATATGTTGTATATGTATGTACAGAATGTTTCTTAAATAGCAGACACCATATAGCGTTATTTCTAATTAAAAATTGAGTTGAAAAGTCCTCTACAATTTTGCAATTTTCGCAATGTTTGACGAAATATTAATTTCTAAATATTGCCGCGTAATAATCCGGCGTATAAATCCGGCGTATAAATCCTGTCCAATGATTGACTATCACGAAAAATGCAAAATGGTAGAGGACTTTTTGATTCAATTTTTTATCAGGATTAGCATTATGTGATTCGGCAATCGCTTACTCGGCGATCTTTAGAAATTAATGTTTCATCAATCATTGCGAAAATTGCAAAAATGATAGAGGACTTTTAATTTTTCGATTTAATTTTTAATCAGGAGCGCTGTATGATTAGTGTCCGCTATTTAAGAAACACCCTATACAGGTATATACATTTATTATTCACACGCAATGTTAACGTCCTTTATGCTAAAATTTATACGATCCGCACACGTTCGTTGGAAGCGAGAAAGAAATCCATACATTTTTTGTGGTGTGATTCGTGGGATCACGCGACTCTTCTTTCTCTCGATGCACAATGCATCCCTGATGACATATCCTGCAGGTCCACAATTGAATAGTCTTCTGTTTGCATGGATGGCACGTGACAATGCCCGAAGACCCGTCTCGCACGCGACCACACCCCATCGCTGTTATTTGTTTAATTTAAGGGTATTGTTGCGTGCGATATTTTCGTTAGTCGCCGCTCGATTTATTTCGGCTACGATCATTTTCTGCATTTTAACGTGGGAGACACTCGGCGAGTACCCGGTTCAATCGGGTGTTCCCTTTCGAATATTCGTAATCGCAAACAGTGCGAACGAATTTGTGCGACTCGACAACGCAGTTGTCCGTCGCAATCGATTACACGCGGAACTTTTACCGTCTCATTAATGAAACTTTTTACGCACTCATTTATTAGCGTCCCTTCCCGACGATAAATAAACGCTGTACGCCATCGTGGCATGTATTATGCATGCGATATTACAAAGCTGATGCTCGCTCACGCGTAAATTATCATTATACGGATAACTTAATGGCCGACTAAATATTTCTTGCATCGTTTTTACATAATTGAATCTTCATAACTGGTTCGCGAGATCTTTTTTTATCGGCTGATCATCGATCGTGGTAAGCGAGCTTTCGACTCCTCCGAGTCGTGCATCGCGCGATCTTACAACGAAAATTGGCACTCGCTGGAATCTTACTGGCTAAAGAATCTTGACAGCCACGGATAAGGTTCTGTGTGCAGCAAATGGGGCCCGACGGGCCCAGCGATAATTGAAGAATACTACATAACCAATTGTCGATAAGTATTTATATTTTAGAACATCAACGTGCAGTTTTTAGATTTGTTCTTTTCAAAGAGTTCTGAACCTAGTTCTAAACCGAAGACATAGAGAGTGGACTGTGCGATCTGTATGTCAAAAATGGTCAATGAAAGAAAGAGAGAGGGATCATGGAAGACAGTCAATCTTTATCTCTTTCTATTTAATGGTATAATGAGAGAGAGAGAGAAAATGAGAGGGAGATTGGTCGTCTTCCACGGTCCCTCTCTCTTATTATTGTTGATATTACATGTGAATACTTAGATATGGATCCATTCTCTATGTTTTTGTTCTAAACTAGTGCAATAAGTTAGAGTGGAATAAACTATATCTGTTTTCAATGAAAAATGAACAGACCTAATATAATGTCGCAATAAAGTGATAATAGTGTGTTGTGAAGAAAAAAATTAATTTCATCTTTCAAAATTTTCCATTTTTACATTCTTTAAATGCATAAATACAACAAATTATTATAAAATTATAAAATGTAATACCACACACACGATGAACAGATAATTAACGAAATATTATTACTCAACTTGATAAGTAATAACGACTTATTCGCAGATTTCGTGATAATTTTCAAAATTGATATAAATTATCACTGTGTCAGTCTGAGTCATCGCTAAGTCATAATATTTCAAACAAATGAATAAATATACATAACAAATTAAATAGATTAACATGAAGCATATATAAAAAACGCATACAAAAAATAGATAGCTGTAAACATTGAGATACAAATGTATAGATGATCTGTATCTTAACATTTTGACCGTAAAATTATTTATTAGCACCACATTATCTTTGAAAAATTTATTTCAAAAATTATTTTTGAATCCTTACACAATAAAGCAATCTTAGATCTAAATCTCTCTAAGAATAATATTCCATAGAATATTTTTCAAATTTACTAATATTATATATTTTTATCTCTTAAAAATATTCTTTTATTTTATAAGTATTATTTCTTTTATTTCTATTTCTTTTACTAAGCAGATAACAAACAGATCAATTAGTACATATAAACTTATATCTCGCGGTCAAAATGTCAAATGTATCATTATAATTATCCTCATTACATATTTGTACTGACGATAATATATTCAAAATTCAATTTTAAATTCAATTTGTCCAAAATAAATGGGATTCAAATTTAAATTATGTTTCATTGTTATGAAATAATTGTTCAATTTTTCATATTGCATTAAAAATCACAGTCACAAGAAAGAAACAAATATAGAAAGACAGAAAAATACAACTTTTTAAACATTATAACTATGTAGTATTTTAACATTGAATATAAAATAAATATTCGTAACAATTCTATTAATTTAAGTACATCCGCAATACGTAATCATAATACTTGCACAATAGTCAGCAAAATCAGCATCTGCTGGCAATAAATTCAAGAAGTCTTATATAAAACTGCATCGCAAAAAAAAATACATTTTTCTTCGAGCATATTTCTGTACATTCATCCATGTAGAAGTCGTTCTTAATTCGTAACCGGACAATTTTTCTGATCTGTACGAATAAAGTACGCTCTGCTAATGTTATTCTTGTCGATAACTTGATAAGCCTTTTCTACAACTGCGACTGACGGTTTTGGTTCTCGTGTTAAAATCCAAACATTTCGTACACTGCAAAAACATATTATAATTTTAATAATCTAGTAAAAGTCTGCTCAGTCTAATTTCTAATCTAATATCTCTAAAATCAAAGATTCTCCAGAGATAGAAAAATATGCCTTTAAAACATGAATGTATGATACATTAAGAAATTAAAATTTTTTTCTACTTATTTAGCAGCATAATATGTAAAATTACAATAATATTTATAATAAAGGCACAGGAAAGATTTATTGTAATCAACTTTGTATCAGGCAAAAAATGTTTATACATATTTTATATTAATTACTTATTTTCCCGCGTTCTTTTCACATGCAAACTCACTTAAGGACTCCAAGATTTGTACAGCTCCATACTACGGCATATGATTTGTAGTCCGTGTCTAAAACCCAATAAGGTGCATCGAATGGCAGTGGCAAGGATGGAAAAGTGACGGTCAATTTAGGATCATCGGATCTACCAATTAACCTTGCAATGCCCTCGATACTCGTTGCGACTCCAGTTCTACGCAAGAGAATAGACTTTACTTTAAGTGGATAATTGTTGACGATGATATCATTCTATCTTATATCACTGTTTTTCTTGCTTTTAATGACTTAAAATTACTTTATGAGTATCAGATATTGTTGTACTCACAATGAAGAAATTTGTTTGTTCAGGATTTTTACCGAAGCATTTTCATTCAGAGTGTAATTAGCTGTCACACATTTTCCACCAAATTCAAACCACGCAAAATATCTCTCGACTTCGTACCATTTGCCCAAATACTAGAAAAAAAAAATCTGTAATAACTCTCTAAAACTTTTATAACGAATCTTGCTCTAAAGAGTGAAATCTCACTCACTCTTAAAAATTGAAAACTTAAAATTGAGTCAATCTTCACTTTTTAAAGTGAGATTCTATTCCAAAGAGCTTAGAGTACTTTTGATTTAAATGCATAGAAAGGATTGTTTTATATACTTTATGTTACTTTATTTTAATATTAAGTATTTTAATATTAAGTATATATTATTTTAATATTAAGTATAAGTCAAGATAATGATCGTTCCGTACTCACTCTTTCAAGTTCGAAATTTTGCATTGCTTCCAAATTTGGACATGTACCCAAAAATGGCACCTGCGCCATCACTGTATTTGCGATGATAATAATTACGAATATCCGTAACATATTCTTTTCTGGAAAAAGAACACAAAATATTTATTCCATTTTTTAAAGATATGTATAGGTACATAAAATATGTTAGAAATTTAAGAATTTTAATGCACAACAATAAGTCGGATTCTCATTGAAATAAAATTCAAATTATATAATTATATGAAGAAATCAAATAAGTAAAATCTTTTACTTGTTACGTGCATATATATATATATTAGGTGTTGGAATTAATTCGTAGCGTTTTTTTTTTTAAAACGCTACGAATTAATTCCAACACCTAATATATATGCACATGTACATGCAGAAACATTAAAATAAAAAATCATACAAAGATAATGTTAATTTTATTTTAAACAAAATTGTTTATGTTGAAATATTAATGAAACTTCCTATATATATCGGAATGCCAGTGATTATAGAAAATTTTTCCGAAATAATCACCGTTACGACAACACGAGGTGTATTATCGTGTAATGATGCACCACTTGAAGAGTTTATTTTACAAATCAAGTTACATCAACTTCGATGCTTTGAGGATATTTCTTGGTGCACCTTTCGTGTTTTCAAAGTACACAGTTACTAACTTCGAAACATTCAAGAAAATGAAGAGAAACGAACGTGTGCTCTTTTATATTGCATTATCGCGGACATTAGTTTCTAAATTGATGATATCATAATGCAACACTGTTCTGCATGGCATACTTAATAACGTTTATGAACGTACTTTACTTGTTGGACTAGTTTTTATCTCTTATATTACATAATGTGTTGATTTCGCTTTTTATATGCTACAAGGATTAAGAATAAAGTAATAAATTATTTCAAATATCATCATCCTTTTTTTATTGTACTAGTAATTTGAAATTCATATTGATATGAACTATTCCTTGGATAATAGATGCAGGTCAAACTGTTATGCGAAAATTTTACACGTGAATTATTTAAGTTCGAACTTGATTTCTAATTCTCTGATCTCTTTAATTTACCTGACAAGAAATTTATATCTGCACAAGTAGTTCAACGAGCAATTTATTGTTAGGAAATTCGATCAAAGTAGAAAGGGCAAAAAGAAACAACCTGAATGCGATATCGGCAATACAATCTCATGGCACTCTAAATACAGCACTCACCTGATAGCCTTGACCGTCGGATAATCAGAAAACACGCGTCGAATGTCAGTTTTTTCGAAATGATTTTGACTCTGGATTAGCGCTGAGGATTACTTCTCACACGATGGATCGTTCGTAGGTGACTGAACTTCCTGCTCCGCGATTCGCTTCGTCGGAGAGACGAACCCGCGAAGGTTGACTGGATATGTTTGGCAGAGTACTGACAGTTAGTAGGTCAGTAACGGTACGTTCGGGGTTCAAGAAACCCGACTCGAATTTGCCATTGACCAATAGATGAGCGACAGATTCGAAGGCACGTGGACCATTTTATGATCAGATGCGATGGATCACTTTTGAAAATTGCTCGTTTGTGCTTGCATAGATTTCGCAGTAACGACTAATAAATCAGATACGAAAGAAATATGTTAATAGATTGTAGAATGATTTGAAAAAAGATTATTTTAATAGTAAATATGTTTATGATAAATCGATTACGTCATATAGTGAATATATTTTTGTTTTAGTATTTACGCACTATAGAGAATATAAAAGTATCTATAGGGTATAGTTATGTATTATCGAATTAGTCTTAATTAATTCTATAAAGTTATTAATCAAGAAATGTACATTTTGGAAGAAAGGTAAATTTGGAAAAAATATTTTTGCATTATATTTATACATAAAATATTCAAATTTTCTTTTAAATATTCTTTATATATTTAAATGCAAGAAAAAAATGTTTAAGCTTTTTATTTTTTCATCTGCATTCAGAGTTGAAATATTTATTATTTAATCGTTCATATTTAACGTAACATCGGTTTATATATCAAGTGGTAGTTTTAAATTGATATGATTATTATCAAAGATTGAATTATTAATGATGAAAAATATATCCGTTATGTGACCTGCTTATATATTTATGTTTACGTAGAAAATACTATGACATATTTAGCTTTTACTAGTACCACATCGTGATGCGAAAGCTAAAAAGACTTTCCAAGAGTTTAAGAACAGCATTTTCTCTCTTATTGTATGACTACTCACAGCATATAACTTATCGTGGTAAATTATTGTACGTAGAAAAATTTTAAAGAAAAATGAAGTTTTTTTTAAATAAAGTTGCATGTCTCATTGATCAAATATTATTTTCCATTAATCAGATATAATTCTGCGTATTAATTTATAATTAAATTACGCTACAGTAATCAGTAATTAATTTGACATGCATATCATCATATCTGTATAATGAAATGGAAATAATAAACAAACAGGTACGTTTTATTAAGACATTTTTTATAACAATTTTATTTATCTTTGTTTCTTTTCTTTTTTTTTTTTTTTACATTTGTACGTAAGCCTATAAAACAAAGCGCCGTGCCAACCCTATATGTCCTCAAACGACAACGTAGAACGACAGCGTGTCGATGGAACAGTGATTAATGATTTTACGGTACTTAAGCGAGACTGGTTCTCAATGAGGAAACCGCTACGAGCCTAAGACGTCGAAAATCCCCAGGAATACATCCCTGCTAGCGCCAACTAACAGACTTTTTTGCTAAATAATACTTCTAGGCAGTTGCTTCTGGCTCTTTCGAATGTTCGCTTTTCTCCTCCTTCGTATTTTCCGCGACATTCTCCTCCCTGACCTCGACAATGATCATTTTATCCCTCGTGTCGCCACTCTCCTCCTTTATCGTCTCTGCTAACTTCAAGATCCGTTCAGGAACAGTTTCGATGGGCTGCTCGAGCTTTACGGGTTCCTCCGATATTATCTTCGGAATATCGGAGAGCGCTTTCTCGCCTATAATCCCGGCTGTTGGTTCCTCCTTCTCCTTTATCTCAGTATCGGCATCATTCAGAACGATGGATGATCTGGAACTTTCATTCGGCTCAGTTGGTTGCGGTCTCTGTTTTCGCTTCTCCGACTTCTCCGGCTTCTCCGGCTTCTCCTGCTCAGGCACCTCAGACTCCTCTGTTGTCGAGTCCAAATAGGCGCATTCCGCTTGATCGGTTTTCACGAAGAACGTTTTCGATATCTTGTACTTATCAAGAACGCCATAAGCCTGCAATTGAAAAAAAAAGATTTTAAACTGTTATAGTGACGATAATGATTCTAGAACACGCGTATGTTATAATAACTGTAACTGTATCAATAATTTTCAAACGTAAAACTTATTATTTTATTTTATATTAATAATTTTTATTTTCTTGTATTCTCGGCCGTAAATCCTGAATATATTAAAACACAAATAAATTATTATGTTTTAATATAAACTAATTTACCTAATTGTATATATAATTCGTTTAAATTTAATAATTCTACATATTAATTTGAATTCTATTAAAATATAATTTTTTAATTATTTATTGCGAAAAATATAATCTTTGTAACAATTTTTCAATTAATTTTGTATTTTAAAATATAAACAAAGGTAATATTTTTCGCAATGAATTATTCGCAGTTTTTAGAATTCATCAGCATATGACAATTAATTTTTTGTTAGTAATTGCTTATATAATTTAATAAGTAATATTATTATTCTGGTTCTACTTGTGAATGCGTCTTCCGAAAAAACATTTTGGCGCGCAATATACGGAATCAGAATATAAATTTACACGAGAAATTTGTATTGAAGATCCATTTCGGCCAAATATAGAATTCTTCTTAAATTTGATTTTTTATTCTATTATTTTACCTTTTGAAGCACTTTTCCGGACGGTACTCGTTCTCTCGTCATGACCCATGCATTTTGTGCGTGTATCGGGCCAATACCTTGACAGCTCCATAAAACGGCGTACGAATCGTAATCCGTTTCGAGTACAGAGTACTTAGTTTCGGGAGTCAGTGGAACTGTGGTATACCTGACCTGAAGTTTACCCTCCTCGGCTCTGGAAGCCGCGGGCTTAATTTCACCTTCCAGTATCCTCTTTACGCCAGTGCTAAATGTCAGAGATTTATTGTATTATTAAAATCCCATTAATTTTTAATGAAATTCCCATACACTTTACAAATTTATCAAACGAATTAGATGAAATATATATGTATACTTACAAGCGATTCGTTACTTCATTGCTCACGCGATATTTACCATCGGCACCTTTCGTATAATTCGACATAACGCATCGAGATACTACTTCACTAAGCTGGAAATATCTTTCTGCTTCATACCAAATACCCATGAACTGTAAGAAAATCAAATATTCATTACACAAATATTTTGCAACGTAGAGAAAATTTAATTTTCCCGATATTCGTTTGATAATAAAATATCGCTGTAATTAGAGTATATTCTACAAATTCTCATAAAATTAAATGTTCCACAAACAAAACAAAATAACGAAATAATAAAAGAAAAAGAAAATAAACCGAATGTGTATGATAATATACTCATAAACGAAACGTTTGAGTTACTCACCCTTTGCCTGTTAAAATTCGCCATGGGTATATATTCGGGACAGAAGCCCAGATTAGGAATCTGGGCACTGGCCCAGGCCAGAGTCGAAAGTGCTAGGATAATCTTCCCGAACATGTCTGATGACGATCTGCGAACTCCTCGAACACCCATCAAGGCTCCAACCTTTATATACATTAAGCAGGAGCATTGACCGAGAGGTCTTATCCCCTCTGTATTACCTACGTATTAGTACTCTTACGGTACTCTCCGTGGCCCGAGACACTGGCCGAGAAGACGTTGGTCATTGGTCAATGATGCGCCTACGAATCTCTTGGCAAGTCCATCGGCGACGCGACCAAGAACCAGAAATGCAAGATCCATTATGCAACTTCAGAATAAACGGTACTTCGCCAATCCCCCCCTGGAGACGCCAGCCCCCACGGGAACAGCGTTAGAGCGAGGTCTATCAACTGCGTGGAATGCCAATGATTTCTCAGATTAAAAGTTAACGGATTAGAAGAATTTTGTTTCACGATATCTCCAATTTAGATTTATACACTCATTATTTAAGAAACTTTTAGAGAAAAGATAGTAAATGTTAATAAATCTTTTAAGATTTTTTTTAATTACATACTCACTGCCTTTCTAGAATCTTCTGATTCTTTTCACGCTATTCAAATTTACGCATATATTCAAACATATCACATGTATTAAAATATCGTTACGCCATAATTTACACACAAAACGCGTATCCATTTTTAATTGAAATAACTGTCGGTTCACGATCGAAAAAAACTCGGTCGACGTGCAATAATTATTTCCGTTCACGTATTGAGCTCATCGATTTTTTTTCTTTTTTGTAACAAAAATACAGGTATTATTTTGCTTGTAATAACATGTTATGTTTGCGCGAAATTTTAATTAATGAAATGTAATACAATTGACGTATGAGGTAGTGTTGAGTTTAAAGCAAAACTTACACGTGTTTCCCTCTTTTTCTCTATTTTTCTTGTCGCTTCAAAAATATTTAATTGCCTCTATTTATTATACATACATTTATTATAAAACTAATTAATTGCTTATTTCATGCATGAAATATTATACAATCAAGACACGTCTTATTCAATTATGAAAGATAAATATGTCTGTCCACTTCCTCTAGTCATTTACAAAGCCGGTTCCAGCAATTCGAACTAATATATTCCTCGTACAAACGGTTATTTACGTTCGGCTGCCAGGCAAGTGCGATCGAGCAGACCGATTCTTCTCAGGAGGACAAAACGAGGAATGGACATTTACTTGCCGCGTAATTATGCAATCGACACCGTCGAGATTGGATGTATACGGTATATAGCGTCTTGTTGGAACGTAGCCCACTAGTAACGGGTCTCGCTATTTTTCTTTTTGTACAAAACCGAGAAATCCTCGGACCGTTAGCTGGCGATATCTTTTGCGCCTCTGTCTTGGAGAACTCTTTGAAGATTCTGTGAACGGCAAACCGCTATGCGTATCAGGAAAACAATAATTAACTCTTCGATTTTGATCTTATATTCTCATTCACATCGATGAAGGTAGCGATCGTTAACAGAGATAGACAATGTAATATACATATATACACACTGATCTCAAGAAAGCATCTAGTTAAATTCCGTTAAATAAGTGTATAATTTTCTTTAATTATTATCTTCAAAAATTATTAAGAGCTTCCAAAAGCGGTAATTTGTGAAATAATTTAAGATGGTTCGTTCAACTAATTTATTAAAATCGTTAAATTTGCTTAATAATGTTTAAATTCAAATGCAATTCTTCTACAAATTTTTATATATACACGTTTCACAATCGCGCAATTAAATAATATAGGTATCTTTTAATAAATCACACAACAGGTCTAAAGGAATGGAAGAGGGAAGTATTGGAAACATATATTAGTTCGATTATGTTTGTTTCTTTTTCTTGTCGTACACCAGTTTCTTCAGAATTTTAATTTATTTTTCATAAATCTATGAACACTAAGAAAGCACACGGAGCTCGCGCCCCGCTTGGAAGATGCTTAAAATCTACAATGTTTCACCCGGATGTCCGAATGAGGAAAAGAAGACGCTAAATTTACAGACGGTAGAAAATCAATGTTTTACACAAGATTTTGTCAATTGTTGTTTTTAAATCTCTTAAATTTTCTCTTTACTGAACAATGAGTAATTGAATTTATCGTTTCACTGCTATGTAATGACAAAAGAACTTGCAAGTGCTTCCGAAGAATTCTGCAACGTCAAATAATCATATCAGAAAAATATCGTTTTCTTCCGCATTCTCGGTCAACTGGATCGAAGGCGAAATTCGAGATCTATGCTTTTCTTTTCTCCTCAACGGTGCGATCACGGTCTCGAGAGGGACATCCGGGTGCGCGTGCGCGCTAAACATAATTAATTAACAATAAAATAATCTGTAATGCGTAATCCTAGTGCGTTTACGGCTCGAGAAGAGGGGACGACTGATGTCGGGAGTGCGTGATAAGGGTGGGTGAAAAGGGTAAAGGAAAGAATGATGATAAAAAGCTGATTGCTTAAATTATTATAGGCGACTCGCAAGATCTTTCTTCGTCGGTATCCTCCTGATGCCCCTTCGCGATCGCAAGATTCTCCTCTTGCTCACGCCAAGAGCCACGAGTCGCGCTCGTGCCATGAACGCCGCGGCGTCGCACGCTAAACAATAATTATTTTAGCTTTATTATCATTTAGTATCACATTACGTTCACTGTTTTGTGCTGGCCGTTTTTTGCCTGGCTTCGCGAGAGCGCACACCACCCCTCCAACCTCTCTTTCCGCTCCGTTTCTTGTACGCCTCCCCGTTACGACATTCTCGTAAATGGACGTCGTAATGAAGGGAAGTGAAGGAGAAGAAAAGGCGCACCGATCGATTTGTCTCCACACCCTCGAGCAATCGCGATTATGAGGTCGAGCAGAAATACAAGGATGTAATGAAGAGAGAACACCAATCGACTGTGTTTCCGTTCTTTTCCCGCGCGATGCTTTATTTGACTGATACAGGACACTCTTTGAGAGAAGCAGACCATAAAGAAATTTTTTTTTATATAAACTTTTACATAAATTTACATCTTTATATATCTTTTATTATGTACATCCTTTATTATCACGAGAAAATGATAGTTTACTGCAATTAATGTATAATACAAACTTGCTCCATTGCAATCGACAATATATATATATATAGATATATATATATTTTTTCAAATATATATTAAAATTGTAAAATATCCTTCAAGTACAATGCCGTTTAGTACTTAGCGCAGCTCGAAATTTCATTCGTTGATTTAAAAACTAAATTATATTGCATTTATATTTAACTAATATTATTTTACAATTTTTATCAGAACGTCTTTGGTATGTAAGCGAATCTAGAAAATCGAAGCTACATTCATTCAGAGCGTCTATATCATATTTTAATTTAGTAATTTCTTTGCACAATACACATGTTATTCTCAATTTATCTTTTCACAATTATGACTCGATCAATTGTCACTGCATTAAAGCAGACTCTTTTATTCCATTTTTGTGGAATGTATATTCTTTAAACAGAATAAACTTCCAAACGCGTTAATAATCGACCAATTTGAAAGTGTCTTATTTCTTCTCCTTGCTCAATTACTTCCGAATATCTTCGAGATTTTATGCACATATCAAGGAGCAAAAAAGAGGTCGAGGCCCTTCTTCAAGGCACCTTAGGTAATAATAATGCCTACCTAGAAAAGAAAAAAAATGACGTCCTGCGCCAAACAAAGATAAAATTAGATGAAAGAAAGCTACTAATTACAACGATCGAACTAGCCTTAAGAAAAATTGAATTAATTCAAATGAATCTTAAACTTTTCTACGCGAATTCGTTAACGTTCCTCCATTTCCTAAGCGAACTCGTCATCGTCATCTTAAACGCCTATGTCTCTTAAGCCTATGAACACATGAAATCACTGCCCAATCAACCAATTTGGACCCATTTGACAAGGCACTCGAGTCGCTAAGTTATACTGAAGGGTGTACCATGAATGGGATGTCAGGACGGGGATGAGAAAGATGAGAGATAGGCGACAATGTGGAAGACGGGTTTTAGAAGACAGAACATTAACAACGTCGATGTTTACTAGACAATAAATTGCATCAACAATTTATAAACATCATAACTGCGTCTTCCGCAATCGATTTCGCCGATAATGTTCTCTTCCGTCCTGCTTAACATTTCGACTTCATTCTTTCCCGTTTCAACATCCCGATCGAATACTTTCGTGTTCGCGATCGAAACCGTACAGTTTTAACTACTAATAGCTAGCTCGTGGCGATTGGCGGGCAGGATACCTAAGATCTACCTAAGATAGAAATCGGTGGAAAGTCGGTTGGTCCCTTTGCAATAGTGTGAAATAAATAAATTCTAGTCCGTCCTCTCGTTCCTATTTAACATTATTTACATTGTAAAATTACTCGCACGCGCTGAGGTAAACGGAACTTTGCCGGATTTGCCACGTGCGGCGATTAAAATAAAATAACAACAAACAAGACGCGACAAAGAGACTGCGCTACAATCATGCCAAGATTTAGCGTGTGACAATAATTGACCTCTCTGTTCGTTCACATTATCCTTGTACTTTTTCCAGATCGTTCTCTGCGATCACTCTCGACTCGACGTACTCGAATCACTATCGAATCAACTATTAACAAAGTTATTTTATCGAAGTTATTACTTAACCGTAACGATAAGATCATGATGTGAGAATCAGGTGTGCTGTATTACATCTGGCATTCTTACATCATGGATACTTTCCGCCAAGTCGTCAATTAAGCGACTTCAATGTAGAGAAGTTTTATATCCTATATATTGGGTCATTTAAAAAGTATCCGCGATTTTTTGTCACTAGATGGTGTTGACATCACATATACAATATAATAGCGATTAATTTTTATTATTCTTAAAAAAGACCCTTTCTCGGTGCTGCATACTGTCTGCGTCTTTATATTTATATTCGCATGATGATGACAATTTTATATTGTACATACAATTTTGAGTTTTTTGCTTATATTATTTTCTTACAAAAAAAAACTTATTTTACAAAGTCATATGAAATAACTTTTTTTTTTAATAAGAAAATAATATAAACAAAGTTATAATAACTAATTATAATAATAAATAAAAAAATATGAAGACAAACAGCAGTATTTGAAAAGAAATTTTGTTCAGACCATATGTAAATTTTAGTAATAATAACAATATGTGAAAAGGGTTACAGGAGCGCTAGAACTCAATTACGCTTTTTAACAATTTAATCATAAATGTATGTTTCGGCTCCACTTTGAGCCATCATTAACATAAAAATAATAATTATATTACATATAATCTTCTGCAAGTATCGTAGAAAAAAACCGATCAATTGCAGACAGAGATGCAGTGAGTATTGTCCTTCCTCAATATCTCGGTGTTATGCCACAGAATTTCATAGCTGAGGGTGGAAGATGGTGAGAGTCCCACGCATAATTGTTAAAATCGTAACATTTTAAAACATCGTCAACATAGTAAAATATGGTACAATAGTCGTCGCAAATTAAAATTATTTAATTTAAATTAGTCGGAAATTTGCCAATACATTGTTGGTTCGAAAATTGATTAAACTAATTTTGCGCAATTGAGTTCTAGCGACTTCTATAACTCTCATATTGTTATTATTACTAATTGTTAAGCAAAAGAGCTTTAATAATTAAATATTCTTTTTGTTCAATTATTATTTATTGGTTATTATATGTAAATTTGTTTCCTAACAAATATTAAATCAATCAATTTCTCATCCATGCTTTAATTATATTTTGTCTGTAGTAAAAATCATATATCTCACTCTCTATATTACAGATCAAAATATCATATAAAAATGTTTATAACTTACAATAATTTAAAATTATGCAAGTTATAAAAATTTTTGTTCAAACAGTGGAATAAGTCGATCAATTACATGATAGAATTTAAAATCATTACGCAAAAATTCTTCACTGCTTTTTAGTGATACGAAAGAACTTAAGAAATTATTTGTCTATGGAAAAAACAAATAATTAATAAATTATTTAACGAAAGATCATAATTTTTCAAAATATAAAGATAATTTGAAAATGTATATAATAATTATTATATACTTTTTTTGTATATCACAAGTAGCGAAGACTGAGCGATAATTTTAAATATCTCATTTTGCATAAACTAATTTTTTTAAACAGTCTGAACAGAAATTGTGTGACTTGATCGCATCCTCCTAATGAGATCTTGAAAGCATAAAAGCATCAAATAAGCTGCTCATCATTATGCGTTCAAGGAACACTCTTCAGCACCGGACGGTCTTTGACTTTGTCGCTATTCGTGATTCGTAAATTCACGATGTAGATTTCTGCTGAGCAGTAGATTGTTGTGCGGTCCCGAGAGATGCCTAATGAGGTCCTGCAAATTAACGAAGTTCGACGACGAGCAAAAGCAACACGAGAACGTATTGTCGGGAGCGGCTATCACACCTCGGTGCACCGAGCAAAGGTGTTTTAGCAAATGGGCTTTCTGTTTGAACATGGCAACACAAAGTCTACACGCGAAAGGCTTCTCGCCCGTGTGCACTCTTAAATGGGTCTTCAGGTTCCATGACATGCCGAATTGTTTGCCACAGTAGCTGCATCGATATTCTCGAACAGGGGTAGACTTCGGCGGGTCGTCCGTTGACGGTGGCGGTGGTGGCGCTCTGGCAGGTGGCAGAGTCCAAGCCGTCCAAGGTGCCTCCAGAGCCGCTGCTGACGTCGGATCAGCGCTTGGCGGTCGATGTGATGGCGGCGTCACTGATCTATCTTGCTGCACATCAATAACGCTTCGTAAAAAACGTAGAAACGCTCAAATGAAATTACAATGTATATCTACTGTATAGTATTGAAAACGTTTGAAGAAATCATAATAAGTTGTTAGAGAAGCTTATAAATCGTGCACGTTTATCGATGTTAATGAACGTTCGTCGTAATATATCGATATCAGGAAGTCACTGTTAAAAACCAACCAGGTACGGTGGTGCCGAAACACTCAGGGGATGTGGCGCCTGCAACCTTCTGGGCGTTTCGAATCCAGGATTGAAAGGCACGAAAGCCGGATTTTGTGCGGGAGCATTATGGAAGCCTGGTCTTCGCTTTCGATGAGGCGTCACGACGTATGCTTCCGCAGGTGGGATCGGTAATTCTTCGAGTTTTCTCTTCCCAGATTCTAAGCCTAACGCCAGTCGCGCTGCCAACTGCCTCTTCCGCTCTTCTGCTTCCTCAAGAGATTCTCGCCTTTCGAATATCGGTTTTTCAGACCTGCAGCAGTCAAACCAAGCCACCTTGATGATTTATTCTATTGTTCCAAATTTCATCGGATTCTATTGGATGTAGCTTATCCAAAATAACTAAATAGCGTTATATTACTATCGACCGATACATAACGATTATGTGACATAATGTCAACATTCTCTAACCTGTGTATTATATCGTGTGAGCTATCACTTGTGACGGAAGTGCCGGAATTGAGACTCAGATTAACAGGATCAGAACTATCCCTTCTTCTAGGAGGTTCTATGCTGCTTTCTCTGTTATCCGAAAGAAGACTTTCGCCTTCCACACCTTCCACATCCACTTCCGGCTCCTCTTCGCAGCCTTCCGTTTTAATGAGGACTGAGCAACAGTCCGCAGGATTATTGGACTGTCTGAAAGATATAAAGTTTTTAAAACATTATGTCTGATATTTTTTTTTATTTATACAAATTCGATAAACTGTAAAATTTATTTGCCTACCTGCCATCGTATTGGGATTCGTAACTGGAACTCTCCTGGCCTTCTGAAGGCTGTGGAGTTGATATTCTTTCGGGATCAGAATTACTAGTTTGAGGCTGATTGGGCTCAAATAGTTCGGACTTGATTTGGAGAAGCTCAAAAAGCTCTCTTAATGGCGTAAGCTCTGTCGACTGAACGAAATAAAATTTTATTAATAAAATTCTGCTTAGCACACATTTCAAACACTTAAACATATTCAAATACAAATATTATGTTAATAAATTGTTTTTCTGTCGAAATATTCTACTTGTATACTACTTGTATACTAAAACTATATCGTAATTTAAAATTCATACCGGTATCAACGCTTCTCCGTTATATAAAAATTCCAACAAATGATTTAATTGCGTCTTTCGGACGCCTGATAAGTGAACCACATGGTCCAGGGCAGGATTCCGAAGTAGACTAGCCAAGAGGGGACTGGCAGCTGCCAAAACGACACGATGGGCCTTCACAATAGACCCATCATCGCATGCCAGGGTTACATCTACGTGACGGTCCCCGCTGTACCAGGCCCCGACCTCTGCGGCCAAGGTCGCTGGATGTTTTCCATAATGGAGCGTCAGGAGACCGTCAGAATACATCGTCTGAAACAAGAATAAAAAGAATATTAATATCCATGATCAGATAGGCTTTTATCTGTTAATTTAAAATTTGAATTCGTCATTCGTAAGGAAAAAAATAAAAACAGTTAAATAACGGGACATATTAAAGTATAATTTTTTTGTCAATAGTTTTTGGTCAAACTATCAAAATTTATAAATGATAGGTGGCACGTGCCTCTGATTAAATTACTTTTTGTAGAAAAAAGATCTAAAGAATTTTGATTGAAATACAGATTTAAAAAGATTGTAAAATGACATTTGTAAAAAATATGATATCAAATATCTGATGATATTGAATATTTGATATCATAATGATAATAAATCTTTGCACACCTTTGCGATAAATTAGTAATTAATTACACACATAAATTATTTATTGATAAAAAAATAAAACTATCGTATAGACATAGGGTGCAATTATGGTAAGAAATTATGTGATAAAAAATGCATCCCGCGTCCTTAACCCAATAAGTAGTCTTGCCGCCTTGCGTGTTGCGATGACAGCTTCGTTACACTAATTTCCTCCTTTCGTGTCTTGGTTCTCCAAGAAACGGCGGAAGAGATACTGACGTGTCATAAGATCATGTTTCTCACGTTTCTCTTACATCTACGCAGCTCTCAGTTGACCATGTCAAACATGTTTAATGGTATAGTATGCAATTATCTCGTTAGACTAAACTCTTCATTTATTTTATTTTTCACGTATATTTAATTATATCTATTTTGTATTATATTTTTTTTTATATATATTTAATTACATCTATTTTGATTCTCCTATAGCTTCACAAAAGTAATAAAAAAAAGTTATTTTCTTCATAAATTTAAAAAATTAATATTTCATACAACATTAAATTTATATAATACTTTCATAAATTAATTAATAACAGTGCATCGAATAAAAGCTCTCGAATATTTAATATAGTTTGTATACTCTTTCACAAAATACATAATTAATTAATATTATAATATAAACTATGATGCAATTGTAGGTATATGATTTTCGAATGTGATTTACAAACCTGTTTTATATTACTAGAAATTCTTCTAATCCTATTAACTATCGGAGAAACAACTTGTTTTGCTACAAAATCCGGTTCTATTTAATATTTTTTCATCAAGTGTCGGTCAATCGAACATAATTCGCTCCTAATTAGCACTTGTTTCAGAAAACAATTGATGGATTGTTGTTACGACATAATCTTGTAATACTGATCATAAAAAAAAATATTTGACTAATACAATATCGAGCGCGTAAGAAATATCCCATTCATCCGTGTCGAAGATTTGCAACAGTTTAACGCGGCCATGGCTAAGAATTAACGGCTGATCGAGCATTCCTTCAGTTTCTCAAGGGAAGTCGAGAGAGAGAGAAAGTCTGGTTTCACATTATGTTTTCAAAAGGAGCAAACGTGTAATTAATATTATGAAATGAATTCCGCAATGTCAAACGTGTCTCAAGATTACTGTTTAATACTGAAAATTATTATTTATCAATTTATTGTATACTTTCATTTAAATTTACATTTATTGTAATATTATCGAGAGAATAAGATATGTACGAAAAATATAATTTTAAGAAATATTATATTAATTTATCGATATATTCTCTCTAATTTAACGCACGAGAGGAAGAGAACAATATGTTGTTTCTAAAAGATTAATTCTTCATTATTACTGAGAAGTAATAATTACAATATTAAAATATTTAAAGCATTTTTTCCAATGCAGCTGATTCTTTTATGTTTTGTATGTAGATTTATACAATGATTGTGTGTGTGTGTGTGTGTTTTTACATAAATACATTTTTCTAATCATTTTCAAAAACATTTAATATGATAATCAAAAAGTGAATTTTCTTTACGAAGATAAATTTTATTCCATTGTGAAATACGATATATCTTAAAATGTATAACTCAGGATTATAGAGCGATGAAGTAATGACGTGTAGTACGATCTAAGAGCATCTCGCATTTGCTGCCATGACCTTCAGTCGATTGTTCGATCGAATTCGAAAGGAAAGACCTTGGGTAAGAGTCCCGAAGAAGGTGCTAAATCTATCGTATGAATTTTAAATGATCGAAAGTAGCGCGACGGGTTCCCGTCGAATTCGACGTTAGGTATGCATATAGATTCGCGACTGTGGGCTACCGTTTATTTATTCTCAGATAACAGCCATCGTAACGTTTCGTTGTAACGAATTCCTTTCGTATTAGACGTCGCAAAGCGCCGCATTACGTAACTGGAAAATTTATATCCACCTGTAACAGCGCTTGCATAAGAAAATCATTTCGTTGAAAACCTTAGTAGACCGAACAGCACTTAAAACTATACAATTATTTTATATCTTTATCTTAATATATTATATTACGAAAGTAAATGTCTTAAATAAAAAAGGAAAGCAAAGGCAAGACATCAAATCTTTCATTTTCTGTCTCTTTTTTTTTTCTTCACATAAAAATTAAAATGTATATATATATATATATACGTTCGTTTTTACGATCATGCAGTCGCACATAATAAATTAAACAAGACATTAATTTTTTTTTCATAACGTGCGTGTATCGCTGTCTCGATCCAAGAAGACGATATCATGACAGACATTTATCCGTAATGAGAGAAGTCAGAAAACGATTTAAAGCGATCTAAGAAAAAAAGGGGGGCAAGTTCTTCAGATAAAAATTACGATGCGGTGGCACAGCCGTACACGCTCACTCGCATGTGTAATAAACTCACCGGCGCAATACTGAGAAAATTGCTAAATAAGGAAATCATTGCTGGACACTGCCGACGTTGCTGTCGCTGCTTCTGGTTGCTACTGGAAATGCTAGTAAGCAGCGCGGTTTGAAGTTCAGGGTCAATCTGTACTAGCCGGCAGGCACCGGCAGGCTGGATTACGTTCGCGCTTACGTTCACGTTCTTCTTTCTTCTTCTATTTGGGCCTTGAAGAGTTGCCGGGCAGGGTCTACGCGCGTTACACGGACGTAACGGATGACTGGACGAAGTGTTACCTACGAAGAGAGTCGAGAAACGCAAGTGGAGATCGCTGAGAATGCCATATTGAGCAGTAATACCGTTCCAACGACATCAATGCAAACATGGTAACCGGTACTGTTCCAAGTTTGGATTTCGATTATAGATGGGCAATAGATTTAGGTAGCCTTTCTCACTAATAATGATAATAATAATAATAATAATAATAGCACGAGAAATTCGTGATTTTCAAGTTACATCAATTTCAATTATATTTTAATTGAAACATTGCTCATAGCTGATTGGGTTTAACCCCTTTTCCCTAATTTTGTTGTAAACTTCGTCACTATTTTTTAAAGACTATATTTATAATCGATTCTTATTTCAAGATCTTTCGAGTAATGTCTTAAAATGCTAATGGCTCTATGATTGTTTTATGACTTTTTAAGATTGTATTTAAGACAACCTTAAACACAAGAATTGATTATGAATATGGGTCTAAGAATCCTTCTTTCGATTATTTGTTCATGTGTAGGAAATTAAATTCCATATCGAAAATCCGCTATCCGAAGCAGGAAGAATCAGAATCGCACGCTTTTACCGATTAAGTTACGCTCCTCGTTTTCTGCGCGTGCTGTGCTGTGCTCTGCTGTGCCAAGAACAAAACTATCTCCGAACTGAGTACTTCAGTACAACGATGTCGGTAAAATTCGTTTCACTTTAACATCAGTTGATATTTCATGTGGGATATTATAGGAAACTTTAATTCCAATATTAATTGTTCCGAAAATGATTACTCACGGTATTATTTTATGACGCATTGTAATACTCTGCAGTATTACGAGCAACATTCTTAATTATGAAATATGTTAAAAGAGGGTGTATTTCTTTTTAATTAATATAAATTGGAGCAGTTTTTGTTATTTATATATGTATAATAAAGGAATGAAAATAGAAGTGACCATTGTTTAAAATCAATTTGTGTTGGTTTCCAAATTTTCAAGTATGAATTGAAATATTGGAAGTGATACGTCATCTTCATTAAATTCAATTAATGCTTAATCAACAACGATGTTTCTAAATTTAATTAAAGTTGACTTATTTCTTCTTAATTTTTTAATTCTTAAGTTTGTCACTGTGTGCTGCATTTCGATTTTGAGATATATTAAAATAAATAAAAGTATATGGACACATCGCACTCAATTTCGATAAATTTCGAAATAACAATCTCTTGTAAAATAAAAGAAAGGTAACTACTTGACGTCACGTATTCAAGAAAAATTTTGTAATTATGCAACACTTTATTAATGCAACACAGTAGTAACAAAATTAAGAATTAAATAATTAGGAACAAATAAAACAACTTTTTGATTAAATTTAGTATATCATTGTTTACTAAGCATTAATTACGTTCAACGAAGATGACATATCACTTGCGATGTTTCAATTGTGTACTTGTACTTGAAAATTTGGAAGACAATGCAAATTGACTTTAAGTAACGATCACTTCTATTTTCATTTCTTTATCACATATGTGCTAAAAACTGACAACATTCGTCGCGCTTTCGTAATTGTCGACGATTAATCGAATATTCGGGATCGAACCTGCAGCATGCTGGCAGTGACGAAAAGAGAAAAGTATCGCAGTGTAAAACTGGCGGCGCGGACGCGGTTCCTGAGGTCGGGACCTTAGATAAGAGGAGAAAGTCAATGAATTCGTAAATTCTACCGGCGTCGCCGTTCGCTTATCGCTGCTATGTGCGCAAGCACGCATATATTCCCGCATATGCGTGTGCACACGTGTGAGGGTACTTTCACGTATGTGACGCGCGCGCACGCACACACAGAAGAGGCGACGATGCGCGGTACCACGTACACGCGAGCATTATAATCTCCTATCCGGATGGCGGACGTTACGATCTACCATTGAATCGAACAATGGCGAAACTGGGTTACGCAAATGTCGAGGCTGGAAATTAAAGCGCGAGACACCGGGGGGTTTAGCGGGAGGGAAAATGCACGTCGCGGCCGAGCGATGAAAAAGATCGCGCGCCGTTGAAAAAACGCACGCTTAATCGTAGGAAACGAGCGGTTCGTTAAACTCGCTTGCAAAATTTTGCGAATGTACATAAATGTACCTGGATACTACGCTGCATTTTTTTTTTTTTTCCCTGTAGCTCCAGTGATACTTTTCCAACAAAAGTGTTCATTAAAGTCGACAATTGATAAATCGTGAATAATTGAAAGTAAAAGTTCTTTAAATCGAGCTCTATTCGAGTAATCTAAACGAATAAGCAATTATTTTTTTCAGTAATTTTTAAACAAGCCATATTTTTGTAAACTTTGAATTGTACGATTAGATTACGAAGGCAGCGTTCATTAATTTGAGAGAAAAATCGGTTTGAATAGTCAAAGAATTCACGATGAAGGAAGCAGCGTCAAGTGTGGTTTTGGTTCTCATTTTTACCGATGAGAGGGTCGTTTTGTCACGCGCAATCGATGTTGTTTCGACGCGTTCAGTACTATATGTTATTTCATGGTTTTCGGAAATTGTGGGTTTGCATGGCTGTAAAAATACGAGTCGTGACAGCGCTGATTAAGGTGAGGTCACTCAAACCGCGCAAGCCGACTAGCACGGATTGAGCAACGCCGAGAGAGAACTCGTTACGGGATCTGTGTAATGGGACCCAGGCGTTTCCGCTCCATTTTTTGTGGGCCCAATTACGTTTTGCCAGTCTGGATAGCCTGTGTTTCGCGGTCTCATTGTACGCTGGCCTCGTGTACGTTCACGTATACTCGTCGGACCATCGATATTCACTCGCTTGGAACGCTAAGCAATATCCCATGGAGAAGTGATTCTTCACCACAGAGTGCAGTTAAACTGATTACTCGGAGTAAAGATTTTCGAAAGGATCGCGGGTGAGCAAGCGACATCGGTCTTTCACGATACATTAAGCAGGGACAAGCGGTTCGAGAAACACATCTTCTGTGAAGATACTTTTATCGAAGAAATAAAGAGACTCTGGATTAACGTATGATATTTATTAGGAGTAAAGAGTGCACTTATTTTTACTCGCGTAATGGAATTCATGTACCTTCTTCGAAAAAAAGTTGCACAGTTCTCTCATAGAAAAATTATATATGAAAATGTATTTAACATGTCGATAAATTCGTAATTATCCTAATTATTATAATTAGCTGAAGATAAAACTTTACAATGTTCTTTTTTTGCATAAAGAAGTTCTTTTTTCTAATAGCACATGGAAAGAATAGTTTTACTAAAGTAAGGTATATATACCTAAAAATAGAGCTATATATAGATACAGATTTGAAAATAATTTTGGACTTAATTAAATGTAACCGTGTAGGACATTCGAGCTGGTTGTTAGAACCAAACTTTTTACAGTATCATGGCTCTCCCAAAAAAATGATATAAAAATATAATACAATAAGTCGACAAGTCGATATTTATAGCTATCATAATTGGATAAAGATAAAACTTCACAATGTTATTACTTCTTTATTTTACAAGGAAAAGTTCTTCCTGGTAGTATCAGCCTTCATTTAAGAACTGCCGTTGCGTCGATAGCGCACGCTAGTAAAAACATCCGCACCTATTTTCGACGCGGACTAGTTTTTGTTCGATTCGTGGACAGTCGATTTGAGAACGTGTCTACGTTTCCGTCGTCCAAGAATAGCTTCGTGGTTCGCTGACTTCCCGTATCGCGGCCGCGCATTGTATTGTACACTTGGCGTCTCGTGGAACGAAAACGCTCCGAGCGAGGTTATGACACCCCGTGAAACCGTCGAGGTGACTCACACCTTTCCTCGATTTCGAATCACCATTTTCCACCTGGTCTCTCACGCTCTCCCTCTTGCGCATCGCTCCGTCGACTGTGACGTACTCTCTCCGACATCCTCTTCTCCTCCTCTATACTATTCTTTCTTGTTTCTAAAAGGTTCTTCTGCCCTTTCGCAATTTACCGAGTACCGAACAGAAATGCGTTGCCTTTTCTGTCCGGAAAGAGTATGAGTACTTCCTTCACCGGAAGTACGTGCGTGTTCATGCGGTTTCCCAAAAAAGTACCGTGAGTTCTTCGTCCTAACGTCATTGACGAAAGGGGACTAACGAAAGGGATCGTTTGTACAATTGTACGCAAATGTCTGCCGATTGTATATCGTGTGCTGCGATCCGTGATTCATTCCCACACAACCATTATAGTTGATAGTATAATGTTCCGACGGGATAGAGCCGCAGTTATAGCTGTAAAGTTTGAATCAACCTACGGAGCCCGGATTATCAACAGAGTAGTAATCTATTTAACGTTAATGTGTTCAATTCTCCTTTCGTGTCACCATATTAACACGTAAATGTACGCGTCACGAAAGTCACGGCAAAAAAGGAACGCTTCTATAAGACCTTCAAGAGATTCGTTAAATTCGAGGCTCGTATCGTTTGTAACGTTCCTATCCAGATCCTTTAAACCCATATCAATATTCTGTTTGCGAATTGTGAATTGTTGATCAACCAACCTGATTAGTTAGATGATCAACAATCTGCTGTTCGCAATCAGAATCCAATTTGCATCCATAATACGTAGTGTGACTGGGGCTTAAGGGATCAAAATCTAGGAACACGAATGATGAGTCTTGAATTTGACGTGAGATCGAATCTCCTGGCGACTTTTACAAAAGCGTTGTTTTCTTGCCACGATTTTCTATCGTCAAGAATCCTAAAGCTAGTATAGACAATAATAAGCAGTAAGATGTAAGCGGTAGGCGAATCAACAATTTGGATATGTTATTGCTTACGTTATTGCCTTATGTTCTCTACTATGATTGGCTGATTCATTTGCTGCTTATGTTATCTTGCTGCCTTATATTTTTCTGTGTGTCGATTGAATATTTCATGGTCCAACCAGGTCTTTGGAGACCCAGACGAACTTTTAATTTTTGAAAATTATTCTACCTCAAATTCAGATACGTACAAAAAAGTGAAAAACTGCTTTTATTATTATAAAATCGTATTCCTGAATAT